GGGGGGGGGGGGGGGGGGGGGTGTTTCTTGCATCACTGTGGAACCCCAAGGTAATGATGGGCAAAACGCCCTGAATCATGCTGGAGGTTTGCACAGCCACCAAAACCCCAGCGTTCATCGATGTAGTGATGGGGGAATGGGCAGCAGAGAGAGTTGTGAAGTCGGGGAGACGTGGTTTGGTACGAAAATACACCGGGGAACCTGACATCTTCCCCAGGTGAGGCGACTTGGAACGGGGTTTGAAAATCCTGCCTTATAATTAAGTCAGCCCACTGATTCTGCTGCGGCTCCGAAGCCGCCTGCAGCGGCAGTGAGCCACGCGGTGCTGCTGGAGGAGTCCTCGCTTTGAGTCTGAGAGGAGAAAATAACTGGGAATATTTAAAAAAAAACCAAACAAAAAAAACCAACAAAAAAAGCAGCGAGCTAAACCTACACTCGCAAAATAAAATACCGGGATTTGTTTGCTGCTGTGCAGTATGTGACTCCAAGATAAGCGGGGAAAGGAAAATGCTGATCCAGGAAGGGCTGATAGCAGGTTCCTGGAGGAGCCAGCCCCCGCTCCCAGTGCTGGGTTAGATTTAGCACCTGCCTGTGAATGCTGAAATATCCTCTGCCTGGGCAGACCTCTCCTGCCCGTAGGTAATTATTTGCGGATTTAATCCAGCCTGTGTTAGTTTTCCTGTTTACTTCAAATGCAGGTTTTCACCAGCAACATTTGGCTTGGCTCAAAGCGTTCCCCGCTGAAGTTTCTTTTCAGTTTAGCTTCCCATCTCCCTGAAAGATGCCGTGAGGGGGTTCATTGCAGGGTTCATTCCTACCCATCCCCTCGCTTTCTTTATTCAACATCTCGAGTGGAAGAAGGCTCAAATCTAGGTTTAGGCTTAACTATGATTTTAGGCTTGGCACGCCCACCTAATCAAGTGGTTTGGATGGGTGGGTGAATAACCTCTCTCTGAGCTCTTCAGAAGCCTTTGTGGAAGTCCAAAAGCCTTTTTTCCCCTTGCTCCAGGCAAAACGTCTCAGCTTTGAACTTCGGGGCTGGCTGGTGGTGCAGCACTTTGGGGGTCTGCAGGAAGGATTTAGGGCATAAAGAATTTGGCCCATAACCAGGGGTAGCAGCTACTCACCCTGCCTCAAAGGTCCCGGCTCATTTGTTAAGCCTGACTGCCCAACAGTCGTGACTAGGACGGGGATGAGCTGTGACCTCTTGCAGGAAGAGCTGATGGAGGGGCAGTTTGCTGCGGGAATGGCAGGTTTTTGTCTCTTACTGGTGAGCTGCAGAGAGG